TAGAAATGTACTTGGCTGTGAAAGGAGAGTAATCTCAAGAAGTAGAGATATTCTGGTGTTGATAAATCATATTTATAGGTTTGGGTTTTTTTTTTAGAAACTATTAATGTTAGAAAATATTAACAAAGTTAACAACATTTGAGCAATGTATCATTTAAGATGTTCAGTTTGATCTTGTAGATAGTAAAAGATGCTAGGGTTTAAGATGGTTTTTATCACCTGTAATTCCAGTGTTGGTAAATTATAAAGCAATTCCTTTGTGGAGGGACAGTTGGAATCTTCAGAGAAAGAAAGAATTGGACTGAGCAGTCTACCTTTAACTAGAGTGAGGAGGGAGAAACAGCTCGCTTCTTCTGATTCTCAGGGACTTAAGATAAAACACTAAGGGCTTAACGAAAGACAAAATAAGAAGAGGAAAACCACTCCTTTCCATTAGCAGAAAGGGCAAAGAAGAAAGGAAAATCTCTCTGTAAAAGAGAAATTTGGAAAAGCAGAAGTTTCAAATTCTATGAGTAATTCTTGATATAATGAAAAATAATAATCTTTTAAAATCGAATGACATTTATACTGAATTAAATTATGATTCTAAATCTAAATCGTAATCTAAAATTACGATTCTCTAGAAGACTACTTGGAGGACATGAGCTGGACACTTGATTTGTATTTCTGTGAGGTTTTTTTTTTTTTAGTCACCAAATATTTATTATTTTCTGGCTTTGTATATATATTTTTTTCTTTCACTTTGGATTATTCCATTTATTCTGGGAAGACAGCTGAAATATGTAGAAAAAAGAATTTATGCCTATAAATGTAGTTTCCATATGTCACAGTGCTAACTGTGCTACTCAATTTATCTTATAAAGAATCTTACTCCACAAGTTTTGTCTAATTTCAAAACCTTTTTTAATAACATAACCTTGATTTTCAGTCATTCATAGCACTACATGTTCTATCAAGTAGGGATGATGTAATATGACTTTTGAGGGTAGGCACCAGATTGAAATATTTTCTTCAGGTTTTTATTGATACTTGCCATTTGGTGAAGAGAACATTCTATTTGTTCCAGATTAGAGGACTGATAGTAGAAAACAATTTTTCCCAAAAATCGTTTCTCCTATTTATTACTAGATTGTAAACCTTGAAAAATCCTAAGCAGAGGGCAGTCTGATCTTTATCTGCTTTATTCACTGATCTGTCCAACCAATAGAACAGTGCCTTTGTAGGTGCTTAATAAATATTTGTTGAATGAATGAATCTCTAACATACCTTTTAATCATGAAGTGCAGCTCCTTTAGTCTTCCAGATGACCTTAGATCTGAACAAAGAGCTTAATTGTTCGTTGGAGTTTTGTTTTGTTTTTTTCTTTAACTAAGTTTTGCTTTTTCTCTGGAAAGCATGGAAATAAGTGTCTCCAGCTCCTTGATAAAGACGGTTTGTGCCTTAGGAGTATATGCTCATATGCCTACCTCCCACCCCACCCCCATATACTTTTAAATACTTATATTTACAATAAACTAATATTTATACTTAAGGATAATGCTGGCAATAATTAACACATAAGCATGGGTTTTTATTTTGTTGATTTTTTCAAGGGACTTTAGAAATCATCTGGGCTAACTCCCTCATTTTAAGATTTAGAAAACTAAAGCCTTGAAAATTATTTGCTCAGGTCCCCTCTGCTAATTATTGGTGGTGCAAAAGCTAGAATCCAGACCTTTGACTCAGTCAAATGTTTTTTGCACACACATTATAAATAGCTTTTTCAAGAGGAAGGCTTTTCCAGTTAATATATTGATTCACCATCGTGACACCTTTAGGTAAATATTTTAATTTCCAAACTATTTAAAAAGATTTTCCCCCGCAAATATAAACAGGAAGCGCATTTCATAATCAAGGAATCTTGAAGAACCTGTTCTTCCAGATTTATCGATACAGAGTCCACTTACATGTCTGTCAATAGATGTACTTTATATTATTAGTAGGGACTCTTTTAGGCAGATTCGTATTTTGCCATAAAAGAATTTAAATTTGTTTTAATATCTTTTTTTAATTAAAATTTATTGGGGTGACAATGGTTAGTAAAATTACATAGATTTCAGGCTGGCTAAGTGGCTCAGTTGGTTAAGAGCTCACTCAAGAGTGCGGGCTCTGAGCACCAGCAGTTCGAGTCCCAGCCAAGCTGAGCTGCCACTGAGCTGCCAACAGGTGGCACAATGGCTCAGCTAAAAAAAAAATTAAAAAAAAAAATTACATAGATTTCAAGTGTACAATTTGGTAATATATCATCTATATATAACATTGTGTGTTCACCACCCAGAATCAGTTCTTCCATCACCATATATTTGACCCCCTTTACCGTCTTCTACTACTCCCCCTACCCCCTTACCCTCTGATTGGTAACCACTAAACTATTGTCAGTGTGTATGAGTTTTTATTTCTTTGTGTGTCTTGTTCCTTTGTTGCTTTCAGTTTTATATCCCACATATTGGTGAAGCTACATGGTTCTTGACTTTTTCTGTCTTAGCATAATAATCTCAAGATCCATCCATGTTGTCGCAAATGGCATTATTTCATCTTTTCTTATGACCGAGTAGTATTCCATTGTGTATATACACCACATCTTCTTTATCCAGTCATCTATAGAAGGACACTTTGGTTGTTTCCATGTTTGGCCAAATATAATTTAAGATGTTCATTGTGAACATCTTAAATTATATTTGAAAGCAAATTGACTTCTGAATAGTGAAGTACAAATATTTGTACAGGATATTCTCAGTTGCTAGTATGCAAACCTTTGGGTTCTGTTGTTGTGTCTGTACCTCAACGTATAGACAGCTAAGGACCTAGGTGTTAACTAGATAACTTCAGGTGAGGATCAATCTGAAAATTGAGAGCTTATATTATAGCAGCACTAATTTGATATTAAAAATGCTTTACCCATAGAAATCTTTATATTTTAGTGAAAAGTAGTCAATTTTTTGTCTAAATTAACTAGATTTTTGTTGGTTTTTTTGCTTTAAATATATAGCTATAGATTGGAATTAATAAGTGTTTTTTTGGTTTGGTTTTTTTTTTGTTTGTTTGTTTGTTTTTGCCAAAAAAACATATATTGGACTTCTTAGAGGAGGACATATAAGAGGAAAACTAAAGAGAGAATCTGTCTGTCTCCCAAGCTTGTTTTGTTGGGCCCTGCAGGATCCCAGCTATCACTTGACTGCTGCTCTCTCTCAGCAGTCCCTTGATGAGGCCTCACAGTCAGATAAGAGAGTAGGGCCGTCTCATTAAAATACGTTTATTCACAATGCCGTCGATTACAGGAAAAAATTCCCTTTTCAAATAGTTCATTAAACCAACACTATAACATCATTTTACATTCAGAGGAACGTGCAAATCTTCCATGCTCTGTTTCAAATAACGCACGTCTCAATGCTTATCTCAGCATTTGGTATTTAGTAATATTTTTAACATAATTTCTATCTTGTATTCTATTTCAGAGTGAATTCATTAGTAACCTATTTTTATTTCTCCATGTTTCAGAAACTAAATTGAAATTATACTTTGGATTAGTGAATATGTCATAAAACATAACATTGTGAAAGAAAGGCAACCAGTCTAAAGCCAGTGACACAATATTTAAGTATTAGATTTTTTAAATGAGTCCAGAATTTAAAAAGACAGTTTCCTAAATGAAATTAGGTGATTAGGAAAATAGCAGAGGGAGTGCAAGTACTGGGATAAACTTCTAGTTGGCAGTATACCTAACTAATTAATCCAGTTTACAGTTTCAGAAATGATAAAAGGGAGACAACTTTGATCAGATATGTGTAAACTAAGCATTTTTTAAATGTAAACTTGGAAAATCCACTTAAGTTTTATCACCTGGAGGTGACAGTATTACCTGAATGATCCACTTTTCTGTTCTTTTAAAACATCTCCTGGGAATACATTATCATATAAGACCACGGTGACAAAAGCCAAATTGCTTGCTTAATCCTAAAGTCCCTCTTGTTGGTTTGTCCATAGCCTCCAAAAGATATTATAGGAAATGTCTGCACAGCATAAATTTGTTAGGATTTTATTCTTCAGATGCTGCTTTTAAAGTAGGCCTTGAAAATATATGTAGGCATGAACTACAGCTCGAATTTCTAAAAATGTTTGTAGAAAATACATTATAAATGTGGAATTTAATTATGTTAAGTACTATAGATTTGGCTCCCTCAAGCCTTTGTTAAATTGATTCTTAATTTATATAATTCATTCTTAATATTTTACTTTATAAGTTCAAACCTTTAGAATTGATAATTTGATTATATTCCATGTAAGGAATAATCTTACATTTAAGTAAATTATCTGTTATGATGTAATTGAACAAACATATTACTTTTATGTTTATAGAAAAAATATAATAATTACATTTTGAATAATTTCATTTTGAATTTTGAATAATTTTAGGAATAATTTCAAAAAATGGTGCCCAAATCTGAGTAATAAAAAATATTCTCTTTCCATGTAGCATTAGACTAGCACTAAAATACTTATAGGATATTTTTGAAGCAGTTCTTGGACTGACAGTCAACATATCTTAGCTGATTCATCTTAGTGGACTGATAGTCAACATATGAAACATATCTGATTCATCTAATAAATTGACTTGAGTTTTAATATAAGACCATTTTTTTCTTTTGTTAAAAGTACACACCTCATAATCTGCTAGGCTCAAAATATACAAAGAAACTTCAGCTTTAAAATTTATAATTAGTTTTGAATCATACCAAACCCTTGATCAAGGAAAGCCAAATCTCTTTTACCACAATGACTCTTGGAAAAGAATTTTTTTTTTTACCATTTTAAACAGAGCTATAGAAGTAAAGGTGAAGAAATTTGGGGACTTTAAAGTTATTAAAGGAAATTGATAACCAAACCTGATAATTTAGTCATTTTACATTGTGCTCTTTTTTATTTTGTTTTGTTTTGTTTATTTGTTTGTTTTATTTCAATAGCCTTTTATGTCACCTCGGTACCCTGGAGGTCCAAGGCCCCCATTGAGGATACCTAACCAGGTAAGATTTATGTGCTACTTAAGTTTTTTGTTTTGTTTTGTCTTGTTTTGTTTTTCTGTTTTTGAAGAATCAATAAAGGTCTTAAAAATGTCAGAAATATTTCTTACCTATAAAAACTTTAAATTATCTTTTCTCTCTTCCATTTAATGCTGCTTCTAGTAATATATAATCTACTTCAAGAGTTGGAAACTACAATCCATAGCTTGGCTGTTTCTGTAAATAAAGTTTTTGTAGAACATGGCCACACTCAATTCATTTATGAATTATCTATGGCTTCTTTTACACTGCAATATAAGATTTGAGTGGTCATGATAGAGACCATAGATGGCCTGCAACCCTAAAATATTTACTATGTGGATCTTTATAGAAAAAAGTTTGCTGACACTTGGAGTCTGTCATGTACATTGAACCTAATTTTTAAATATGCATAATTTTGGTATATGCCAATTATATTCTCATTTAAAGGATGGCAATAAAATTTTCTGTGAACGTAATTTGGTTTATTTTTATATATTTTCAATATCATGGCTCTAGCATTCATATCAATTTTGCCCAATTATATTGGCATACTAGGCATATCGCTAGCTGCTTGCTTCTAATAGGATTAGATCTATTAATAAAGAAATTATTAACAATAGATTGTCTAACTTTTTTTTTTACCTACAAGAGCTCTGAGTTTTCATAAACTTTTGTACTCAAATAGTTTTTAATCAATACCATAAATATTTATTTGCTAAATTGAACAAAGCACAGTTTTCACTTGTAAGGTGTTTATAGTTTAGTTTTAAGATACAGATAACATACAGGTGTATAATACAAAAAGAAATTGAATGCTTAACCAAATGGAATATTTAAGATCATGGTTTTGTCACTTTCTTTAATTCTGTTACTTGTATACCTCAGCGTTTTCCAGGATCTAAAGTAAACTTGTTATTACAATAAATTCTTTTTCATTCTTATTCTCTGTTTCTGCTTCCTTCCCGACCCAAAACAGAAGGAAGTTGCACTTACTAGTACATTTGATAGCAAACAGCGTCTGCTTCTCTCCTAACTCTTACTGAAATTATGCATTGTCCTTTAAGTGTCCCAGTTTTCTGGTGTTCTCTGCTGCTATTGCACACAGCACCCACATTCACCCCCAGGGGAGAACGTTACTTTTATTGGAGTCGTGATGGTGTTTCAGACATCCCAACCATAGCTTTGTATATTACATAGATATAAGAGCCTCCCGAAAATCTGAATTAGGGAAATGTGAATTTCTTGTACAAGTGTATTGGTAGAATTTTTTTCACTTCATATATTCCGTATCAGTGGTGAAAATACGATGGAATTATTGGAGATCCATCCATTTGTCATTGTTGAAATCTCTGCTTTGTAAAAGATACTACACTAGGTTCTATACCTATTGTAGACTGGCAAAATGAAAGGCACAGTTTTAGGAAGAGAAGTGGGTTGGTTGTGGTGATGTGGAATTGTAAATCTAGATTGTTTGAAATTTTTTTAAAGAACAAGTTTATAATGCCTTTGGATTTTTAAAAGACATAATTAAAACGTTAATGGTAATAAAGTGTTATGATTTAGGCTCTTTTCCTCAAGAGTTTTAAACACCCTTTACCTAAATATATTTTAAAACAATTGTGCTCTTCTATGAGTAGCTCTTTTTTTGTCCCCACCAACAAGTATATAGTTAAACTTCATTAATTCAAACATGTAACTCAAATTTACATTTGTGTTATTTTAAAAAATAATTTTCTGAGCAAATTAGTTGTGTTAATAGTATGAACATATTGTCTTAGGAAATAATTTAACTTTTTTTAGGAGCATGATGCTTTCAAGCAACAAAATGCTTCTTCAATTTCATTATGTAGTCATTAAAGTAGAATTGGTAAAACTGTTCTTGGTGATTAATTCAAATGATATATGCAAAAAAATGTTAAAATTTTTTTATTCTTTATTTAAAATGACCACAAACTAATGAAATTTTGTTTTATTGATAGATTGTATCTAAGAAAATAAAAAGTGAAATACCTCTTCAATGGTGTTTAGTCATTGTAACATAGTAGACATTTCTTTAATAAACAGATACTTTGGAATGTATAATTATTAATAATTAGACTATAGATTTTAATTTAAGTTCTCCTGGGCTGGTTTTCATGGTTTGGGACTATATCCACAATGCTTTATACTGTTTGTGTCTTCATAAGACTGGATATTTGGTATATAGTATAATATCACTATGTATACCAAAAAATATACAAAGTTGTAATAGTCTCTAAAATGATGAAAGAGAAGTCAAATTACAAAACTACAATATAGCAAAGAATAAATATATATGGAAGAACATACGAAACACAGAAGTTGAGTCCAAAAATATTTTTGATTCCACCATTTTACCCTGGAATTGATTGAACTGTCCAAATGGGTCATTGGTGTTGAAGTAACCTGGAGTAGAGCAGGTCTTTATCCTTCTCAGATAAAATATCTAATCAGAAAAATTCACAATATTCATTCAACACTATGCTGAGGGAACCAAGACAGCCAGAAATACAGACTGTTAGTAAGTGATACCAAGAATAAACAATTGATTTAGTCTAAAGAAATTTGAGAATTTATACTCTATTTCTGACCATTCCTAAAACTCTGTCAACAGATATGTGAATTGAAATAACACATAGTTAATGCTGTTGACCATTTTATATTCTAAAGCTGATTTTGGTATTCTAAAAGCACATTACATCTAACTATTTTATTGAAAGTCTCAAAGGTATTTGTCCAACAATAGAGGAATGGTTAAATAAACTGAGATAATATGCAACTATTAAAAGGCATGCTATAGAATTAAATTTATTGATAAAAAATATTTATGATGTATTACCAAATATGAAAAAGAAGGAAGGACCAAGACATATACAGTTCATCACCTTTGCCATATCGCTGTATATACTCAGAGAATTTCCCCACGCATGTGCCCCCTCCATACAGATACACTTGTCAAAAAGACTGTGAGGGTCATATCCTTTATTTCTTGGTGGTAGGATTATGAGTGATGTTTTTTATTCTGTGTTTTTAAAGTTTGCATTGAGCAGGTATTTCATTTGTGATTAGAAAAGAATGTTATTAGTTAATTATATACATAGATAAATAAAAGTACAGATATTTTATTCTGGTTATTCACATATCAGATTTCCTTTATTAATATTGAATATATAGTTTTTACATGATAAAAGGAAAAAAAATGGATGCTGAGGATAGGCAAATCTTAAAAAGACTTTTCTTCATCATTGTTCAAATAGGGAAAAAATCAGTAGGTATTTGAGCAGGAAAAAAGGTTGTTGGGACATTTACTTGTATACAGAAATGAATTTACTATATCCCTATATAACCAAGGTATTTTAAACAAACTACATACTTTTTTTCACATGTTCTCTTATTCCGATAGACACTATTTGTATTTAGCATGTCCTTCACCAGTAATTTTCTGTCCTTGTAAAATTTTTCACATGTAGAAATTAACTTTTATTTAATGATATCAATATGCAAACATAAAAGAAAGACTTCAGCTGCATAAAAAGAAATATGTTCTACATTGCGTAAATAGTAGGAGTCTTATAGCTAAAATTGTAAGGATGATAATAGCATATCTCTAACTTCAAAAATTAAATATGTTGCACCTGTTTAATATAAATTAGTGGTTATGGTGAAAACAATAAAGTAGCTGTTTTTGCCAATTTAAAATATCCCTTCCTATCAACTGGGATGTCCATATTTCTTTATTGCTTAGTGATAATTACACTATTAATGTATTTAAATTACTATTTTGAATCCAATGAAACTCAAAAATATATTCTTTATGAATTTGAATTATGAGTATATCCTAGATATTTGCCTTTTCCAATTATTTTCTACCATTGTAGGAAGGAAATTAACAAATTCATTGTCTGACAAAAAATAAATTCATTCTCCTTCCCAAAACAAGAAAAGTTTACATAGTGAATGCTGTGTACTCAATTTAAGTTATAGTTATACAGAGCTTTTTGATACAATGTTTACTACTTTTGCCAAAACATATATCATTATCTGATAGCCATTATGTCAGATATACCCTTTCTGGATATAAGACAAAAAAAAAATCCATGTATTGGATTGGAAATTTCATAGAACTATATAAAATCTCATTTTAGAATTATTCAGTGATTCAACAAATATCTGTTGAGGTTTACTATGTGCCAGACACAATTCTAGATGCGGAGCTGCATCAGTTAACAAACTAAAGAAAACCACCTTGTGAAACTGGCATTGTAATGCAGTACTGCCCAATATAACTTTCTGGGATGATAGAAAGGTCCATTTCTACACTGTCATAGGCGATAGCTTTATCGTACTTAGAGCACCTTTGAGTACTTGAAATATGGCTAGAGTGACTGAGGAACCAAAATTTTAACTTTATTAATCTTAATTTAAGTTTAGCCGCATATAGCAAAGGACTACTGTATTAGATAGTGCAGTTACAGTGGTTGAGATATAGAAAAAAGAAAAATAAGTAAATATATATATGTCAAATGGTGAGCTGTGCTTTGGAAACAAATATCTTCTTACACTGAATGTAACATTTCTGTATTTTAATATCTTTTCTGTTGATAATGCCTTTTTACAGGAAAAAAAAAAGGGAAAATGATGTTGTTGAAAGACCTCAATTGTGTTAAGCATCTTAGATTCAAATGCCAGCAATGCCCAGTTATGTATGACTGTGAGCAAGTCACTTTACTTTTCTGGGGCTTGATTTTTTTTTTTTTTTACCAGTAAAATGGTAGTGCACTCAGGTATTTCTAAAATCCCTTCTAGTTCTAAGTTTTCTTGATTATATTATTCTACTTCATTTCATATCATTGAGGAGACTCATTAAAAATTGGGGTAGATCAAAATTGTTACCTGAATTGTATCATAAAAGCATTGGTAAATTCACTATTTTTTTGTCATCAGGTAAGCATTTAGTCTCTATAAGTAGGCTATCTAATGATATCAAGGAAATATACACCATAATCTTAAGTTCCTACAGGGGCTTAGCATTGGAATCATATGATAAATCCTTTGTAAACTAAATGATTCGTTCATGAAGCAAGACATTTCTCCATTTAATTATTTCTGTTTTAATAAAATTTTGTATTATTTCATCTATTTTAAATTCTAGAATTTAAGGCTTGTCTTTTAGAACTTTTGGAGTATGATAATCTGATTTGAAGCCCTGGTGTTGCTACCTGCCACTGGTATAACCATGGACAAATTAACAAATTACTTATGCATTAAACCTCAGTTTCTCATAATCAAAAAGGATTAATAATAGCCTCAAGATATTGTTCTAGGCATTGAGTGAAATAATAAATATAAAGAGCTTAGCACAATTCCTAGCACAAATATGCTAGCTCATAAGTGTATATTATTGTTGATTTTATGCTTGTTATCATTAAGAACCTCATCATTAGTGTTATTTTCTCTGTCAGAGTGAAGATTTTTTTTTTATGGAACAAAGAATGTATGCCAAAATTTGCAACTAGTAAAACAAGTCTGAATAGAACACGTATAATATGTTTAAAAATATGAAAATAATATCAACTACAAGATGTATAAATTGGGGGGGGGGGGTTCCCCCTGACATTAAAGGTTTAAGGAATGCAGTGATTATGCCCTTGTTGATGCACAAAACCATAATCTGATCATCCCCAGAACTGATAAAATTTTCAAAAGTTAGGATTTGACTTATTTTAAAAGACAAACACTAGCGACTAAAAGTTAAATTTAGATAAAGACACTCATTTTGAAAGACAACTTCACACTGATCAAGATTTCTGTAGGATTATGCTATATTTTTAAATGATGAATAGAAACAAAGAAAGACATCATTGTTCTGATATTCCAAGATAAACAAGAAAAAGCAAAATTTTGAATTTGTCTTTGAAATTCATTTTTAAAAATTTGAAAATGATTTCCAGTGATAAAGTATTATTTCTCCTGTGAGATTTAGAAATTCATAATCAAAGTCCAGAATGTAAAACTTTAACCACGTGGAGACTTTAAAAAAGCAAGAACTTCAAACTCACATTTGAAGATAATGTTGGTTAGTCATATATTTTCAATCTTCCTCCTAATTCACTTTTTTATAACTTTTGATAGCATTGACCATTTCTCCCTTCTTGAAACTGTCTTTATTTTTTCTGAAATGTAGGTCTTAGTCCCCTCCTTAATTTCATACCTATTCAGTCTCAGTTTCCTTTCCTACCTCTTCCTGGTATTTCTAAATAATTACATATTTGATCTTTTTTCTTCTTACTCTTTGAATTCTATTCCATTCTTATGACTTTATCATTGATGATTCCTAAAACTGTCAAATCTAAGCCCTATCCCTTTTATTCCTTCAATAAATATGTATTATTCTGAGCCAGCAGACACAGATAGGGTCCATACTCTCTCAGAATTTACAGTCTATTGGAAATACAGAGAAGAAAACAAGCTATGATCATATTTAGGTTCTATGAAAATGGGGTATAAGATCTTGCAAAAGCACATAAAAAGCCCTTACCTTCCTTGCATGCTAAGACATTCAGGGAGGCAAGGAGTCACACAGAGAGGTGGCAGAAAGAAGCAGTGGCCATTGTAGCTGGGAGATTAATTATATATTGAGCAAAAAATACATTGATTGAGCAAATAAGTAAAATATATTGAAGATAATAAAAGGTTTTTTACTGTTGGAGAAAATACAAACACAGAAAGGAAGAAGGATAAAATAATCCTGAGGTTTTGGATTGGAATTGGAGGTACTAGTGTTGGAGAGTCTGAATTTATGGTATGTGTGTGTACAAAAGAGAGAGAATTAGTCATAGATGTGTATGTGTGTGCATATACACATACATAGATTTTTGAGCTCAGAGTCTACTGAGAGGGTCCAAAAGCAATATACCCAACTAACAATGAACACTGTGAGAACCCAGATCTTGATGTGTGAGTACTGTTCTTCACTAGAAGGAATAAGAGCCCTTGGGAGAAAAGACTGACTCCAGACCTAGGCCAGAAAAAGTATGAGATGAACCTGGAACATATTTTGCCAGTAAGGAAATGCTCCCAATATAATGAAGATGTGCCAAAGGGACCCAAGATACTGGAAGAGCCTCCCACTGGCTAAATCTTGGATAATTTGCATATTAAAATAAATGATGATAGTAGTAGATTACAATCCATTGAACATAATAGGAATGCATAGATTTATACTTGAATAATTACATAATAAATAAATAAGGGAAAGCTCTTCCTTACGGTGGAGTGCCCACTGATAAGCATAGAAAGGATGATAGGGGATATATCCATTTGGTAGCGATGATAGTGCTTAGGAGTTGTCAGTAGATGCTACTGACAACCTTGGCATAGCTCTAATACTAATAGTAATCAGTTACAAAGGGGAAACGTAATGATCTTACGGTGTGGAAACCTGGTAGCCACCAACACAACCAGATAATAAAAGTTAATATCACCAATAATGGGATGAGTCAACTTCAGGTACTCAGTAATGTGATCACTGAAAAGAGCATAGCAGCATTTCTGTGGAATTTCTGCTAAGAAAATATGAGCTGAGTTTGCATCATGAACAGACATTAGAAGACCATCCTCTAGAATTTAACACTCATTCTCTTTAAAACTGTGAAGGACATGAGAGGGAAAGGCTGAGGAATTATTACTGCTTGGAGGAGCATGAAGAAACATGACAACGAAATGCAATGTGTTTCATGAGGTCCTTGGTCCCTGAAAGAAAAAAGAAACATTATTGAGACAAGTGTCAAAATTTGTATGTGGTCTGTGGCTTGGGTGGTAGTGTTGTGTCGTCGTTGATTTCCTGATTTGAAAAGTTGTGTAGTAGTTATGCAGGAGAATACCCTTGTTTAGGGAGCTATATTCTGCAGTACTTAGGATTGATGAAGGCATTAGGTCTGCAACTTGCTATCAAGTGGTTCTGAGAAAGACTTAGGATAAAATGAGAGAGAGAAGGAGAAAGGGTGATGGGGCAAATGTGGTAAAATTTTAGCAGTTGGGCAATCTGTGTCAGGGTATATGGGAATTCTTTATACAATCTATGTAATTTTTCTATAATTAAAAAAATATGTACATATTTAAAAGCAAATAGAAGGAAAACTTATCCCAGACTAGGGTTGTAGGGAAGAATTTTCTTAGGAAGCGATTCCTAAACTGAGATTTAAAACATGTCAGCAATAAGCACTTAAGGATCTGTGAGCTCCTTGAGAGGATAGTTTAGTTTTAGTTTTAGTTTTAGTTTTGTTTTGTTTTTAATGGCTGGCATTTAGATATTGTTGATTGAATGCATAAATTGAAAAAAACTAAAAGTTGGTATGGCTGGACTGTAGAATGTCCGTGTGGCAGTGGCAACAAATTAGGTTGGAAAGGTAAGCAGGGAACAGATCATATAGTAGGAACTCAAATGTATTGATTTCAGGTGTACAATTCTGTAATACATCATCTTTATATCACATTGTATGTTCACCACCCAGAGTCAGTTTACACCCCAATAAATTTTAATTTTTTAAAAAAAGGGAAAATGTATTGAGTGTGCATGTAAGCAAAAAAAAAAATCAAATAATTAGAAAACTAGCATGAGAAATGGCAGCTCTGTACTGCATCCCAAGTGATAATTACGGAAACAGTTCTGATCTGGATATAGAAATTCTTTAATATTAATTTTTTTTAATATTTGTAATTTTAAACGAATTAAACAAGATTTATCCTGCTTTAAATTAGAAAACCTTTATAGCAATTCTTGCCTGTTGTCAGGAGTATGTATATATGTGTGCACATATATACTTCATAAGGTTTAAATTGCTTATAGCTTCCTTCAGCTCTAAGCGCTGTTCAGACAACTATAAAATGTTGCAATTCAGTATATATCCAGTATCATACCCTGCATAAATTAACTCTTAATCTCCATCTTTTTTAGTTGTAGTTCTCTTTTTCCATACAGCCAAATTGTTTGAACTTAATTGGAATATTACTTTTCTAAATAGTTTCTAAGGAAAAATGTGACTACAAAAAATATTCATTGGCCTCTTGGCATTTTAGTCCTTCTACTCTTGCAATCCCAAATGAGTAAAATAACCTGTAGAAACAGAGAACTTACATTGAAGAAGCAAAATTACTTATTTTAGTACACTTAGTAAATTAATTTGGAGGCAAGCATTCATTATACTGCTGAGAAAAATATACAACAATTTTTGCCTAGATTTTTCCCAAAAAAACAATACTTACTTTGTTTGCCACAAAATGGGCAAAATAGAATCTTTTTAGAACTAAGAACTAATACTAGGTATATAGACATATGAAATTTATAAATGAATGTCAAAAACAAAAAAATCTTGTGAAATACTCAGCTCTATTCTGTAATTATAGACATTTTAAGAGAATTGTTAAAGCACTTATTTTATAAATATTTACTTTTAATTTTGTTTTACTAAATATATTAGGCACTTGGAGGTGTCCCAGGAAGTCAACCATTACTTCCCAGTGGAATGGACCCAACTCGACAACAAGGTGACTACCTTAAAGTAAAAGTGAAATAGGTGTGCAGAATCTCAAAAGAAATCCTATATTTTTACAGAAATTTGTACTTGGATAAATCTTTCATAATTATAGCAGTTGCATTTTTGCAGATAACATGGCCAAATTATTTATATTTTCAGTTAACTCTTAATTATGCATGATAGCGAGGGTAGTGATAACATAAGAAACAGAATAATTAAACACCAAGCAGAGAGAAGGTGACTAGACTCTGGTTTAGCACTCATGTTCATTATATTGCTAATATCTTCACACTTTTGGGTTTTTTGTTTTGTTTTGTTTTGTTTTTTAGGACATCCAAATATGGGTGGACCAATGCAGAGAATGACTCCTCCAAGAGGAATGGTGCCCTTAGGACCACAGGTAAATGAATAATCAATGCAGAAAGCAAAAGCTAAGTTTTTTTTTACTTTATTTTATATAAACAAACTATATTATATGTTGGCTTTTGTTATATGAATTAAAGGCTTGATATAATATGTTTTTTAGTGCTGGAGAACATAATATCTGTGACATGTCCAAATTGATGTAACAACAAACTATACCTTCACAGGTGCTATCACAGATATGTTCAGTACATTTAAGAATATACATTGCATAGAAATACATTATAGTAATTATTATAAAAAGGTAACTATTACCATTTTAGTTATTTTTTAAGGAAATATATAAAATTATTATAAAAGATAACCACATAAGTTAAATAAGTTAAACCCAGTTGATCAAAAATATGAAATAGAGTAAGCAGCGTAAAATATATTTCTGTAAGTCTTTTAGAGAATGCCATTAACAATTTATACAACCATATTTTTTTATAAAATACGAAAACAATGAAGCATCATTTAGAAATAAACATTAAAATGGGTCTTACTAAGCAAGCATAATGCGTCAGTATATATCTATGTTAGCCTACTTCTCTATCAGTATTTCCCAGAAGTATATATACAATAAGGTTGAACCTATTCTAGTTGTTAGTGACATTTTTTTAAGTATGCTGTTCCAGGATATCACTTATTTGAGCTAAAATATTTTGTGTGTGTCTCTTGGGAAAACTACCTGGGGTAGAAATTAATTTTATAATGTTACATTTCAAAGAAACTAACCCAAAACCCAGAATTTAAAATTTTTACCTCATAGGTCAGAGGTTAGCATGTCATAACACTAGTTAAAAGATGAATTAATTTATTTTCATTATCCTTTCCAAAAATAGCATTGTAAGCGAGCATTTTACGAGTCTGTTTCATGAATCCACTTTTTAAAAATTGAATTAATATTTTGTTGTGTGCCCAATGGAATCAAAGAATTAAGAATCTAACACCCAGATAATATGACATAGACCTAAGAGTTTCTAGCCAACATGCAATTATATATATATCAACTATATTGAAACATGAAGGACATATAACCAAATTTTTCAGAGATACCCTATTACATAAAAAAAATGCACTATATAAATATATGTGAGGTCATCAAAGTCAGAGGAAAATCAATCATATAAATGTCACCCACAAGCAGAATGCATCTTTTGTACTACAATTATAGAAACAGCCTCCGGAATATTGTCATTAGCTTTATGCAGAAACAAAATACACGTCTCATTCTTATCATAGATATTATTTTCATTATTTTTGGAGCTTAAGGTCAGTGTGGAAAAGAGGACAACAGTAGTTATCTATTGGAACAATTGAATTACCAGAACAAAGAAATATATATTGTCTAATGATTCTTAGAGAATGCCAATTTAGACAAAGTGCACACCTCAAACATACTAGTAAACGCGATTAATAATTACTACATGGATGAAGAAATACAAGTTTGCTTCATATATTAGCACATTTTTCCCATCCTTTAATCTATTTTAAATCTAAGTTCAGTGGCAATACATGATTTTTAAAAATTTATATTCTTTCAATAGAAAAGCAAAATTATCTATTTAATCAAGAAACATGATTAAGCAACAAAGCAAACAAAAGCAAAAGTGAATTTAAAGAGACATAAAAAAATATTATTATGCCTTCCCTAATACCAATTTGAAGTCATTTTTCTACTTGCTTTTGTGCTAAGGTACACTTAGCTTGCCTGTGTTCTTATGCTCAGTGAATGCCATATGATTAACAGAAAAATTCACCAAGACCACCCAACTAGCTCTAGTTCCTCTAGAAATCTAAAAGGATTTATGAGTTATCTACAAGAAAAAACATACCATGATATCCAAGTCAGACACCTGAGATGGATTAATGATGAGATGAAAGTACGTGATGGGCTCTCATGTAAAGAGAGAGTAAACTGACTTCTGTATTTTCAAATCTAAGATAGGAGGTAGAATTCAGTTCAGTATAAGGAAGAACTCTCTAGAAATTAAACTGCCCAATCATGGAAAAACTCTATAAACTTCCCAAGTTTATAGAGAACAACCATTTTGTCAGGAACATTGCATTGGGAGAGAGATTAAACCAGATGGAATTGTATAGCTGCCATCAGCTTTTAAATTCAGTGATTCTAAATTAGCGCTTTCTATTCTGCCTTTGTTAATACCACTTAGAAAGCTAGTTGTTATTGTCTCTTATCTTTCTGTTTTCCTTTTTGCTTCATACTATTCACAAAATGAAAATATTTTGTAAATCTATTAAATTATATATTAGGTAATTTCTTACACGTTTCCTGTGATACTTGAGCACTGCGTGTACAAAGATGAGTAAACCAGACTCTGCCTTCAAGTTATTTGTTGGTGAGCAGGAGATGCAGATACATAAAAATAAATAAAAAATAAAAAACTACTATGCAGGAGAAAAAAAATCTAGAACAGAAATATGCATACACTGTCAGGGAGTCATTACATAAACCAGCAAAGTAATTCTGTTAGGGTCCAGAGCTCAAGGGATGCAGATGAGAAGAGAACTCATTTAAAGTGGGTCTCTTATTAAGGGTGACAAGAAAGAGTTAGCAGCCATAATTCTCAAGCACCAGGTATCATACTTTTAATGCACCAGGCACTATGATAGGAGTTTTATGTGATTTCATTTTATCCTCCAACAAGCTTAAAAGGGAAATGATATTATCACATTACAGATAAGAAAATTAAGGTTGAGTGGATCATTGGGAGAATCACTCACTGGCCCAGGTTCACACATACAGAAAGAGGCGCAGAGAAAATGGAACAGTGGCAACAGAGATTCAAACCAATGTCTTTCTATGTCCAGAGATATCAGGAAAATTACAGTTTTTCTTGATAAAATAAAACACAGATCTTCTAAGACCCAAACTGAGGGGGAGACTTTCCTTATGAAGCATTTTTATTATACTTTACCATTCAGATTTTTGTTCCCAAAGACTTTCTTCTCAGAGACTCCTTGCTAGCACTGCTGCTGCCACCACTGTGCTTGCTCCAAAGGTTAAGGGAAATAGCTGTTCTTTTAACAATGACTCAGGTGTGGATAGAAACCTCCCACTCCCCCGTAGCACACAAAATTTGCATGTGAAAATAAGATTTCCTGAAAGTAAAAGAAATAAACAATGAGAATAACATGTAACTAGGTAACTTATTTATAAACAGTGGCTTCCTCTCTGCAGTTAACAGACTTTTCTCTCATTAAATATTTTCTTGGCACCTGAGCACCTACTACACAGAAGGCCACAGCAGATGAGTTAATATGCATGTAAATGTGTATTGCTTGTTTCTGAATCACAAGAAATTCAGTAGGCTGCAGGATGTAGTTGGGAGATAGGGAGGAAGGTCGGAATTATGGGAAATGAGGGCAGGAAATACAGGCTGGCTGATCTGTGACTAACCTCACTGAGCTATGCTGAGGAGTCTAATCTTCATTTTATAGGCAGTGTGGGTCATCATGGCTTTTAAGTGACAGAAAGAGGACTGAGTTTTAGAAGCATAGTTCTGGAGGCAGTATGGAGAAGAGTTTTGGAGGGGAGAGGCCGAGTCAGACCAGTTAAGACAGCACAGTAGTTTCAGTAAATGACAAAGATTAGCGATACGAAGGAGAGCACTATTCCTAGAGCTATTTCACAGATAAGTCAATAGCTTTTGCGGTAACTGACTAGATACGGAATTGAAAGACAAGGAGAAGACATCAAAGATCCTGGAAGTTCTTAGCCTGCACTTTTGTGTGGAGGTGATGCCACAGAACTGACTGAGGAAGGCAGTATAAGAAACAGTCATGAGAAGATAATATTCAGTTTACTTTTAGTTATGTTGAACATGAAGTGCTATCCAGATGGAAACAACTCATGTTAACTTCCACATAAGAGTTTTCTAAGCGCTTAGGAGATCTAGCATGGCAAAATATAAAAGATTTGGGATGCCTAATATATAAATAGTTGTTGGACTAAGGGTAGGAGATAAAATAACCCATAAACATGTGCTCATTAAAATAATAAGAATTAGGGCCGGCCGAGTGGCTCAGTTGGTTAAGAGCTCGCTCAAGAGTTTGAGCTCTGAGCAACAGCGGTTCGATGCCAGCCCGAGCTGAGCAGCCGCTAAGCTACCAATAGGTAGCAGGATGGCTCAGCTAAAAAAAAATAAAAAAAAATAATAAGAATTATTATTCTTAGAATATTCAAAGAATGCTTTGGTTAGAACATGGGGGAAAGCAACATTTAAAGAATTAGCAAAATAAAAGGAGCCAGCAAAGGAAACTGAAAAAGAGTAGTCAGAAGAGTTGAAGGAATAGTGGTATCAAAAAGCCAAGCATGAAAGTGATTGACAGTGATGAAATATATCAACATGATAATGTTAAATTTAATCTTTTGACCCTTATGGAAACTAAAGTAAGCTAATATGATATGCATGCTAAAACATTAAAATGTTTTCATCATTTGAATGCACATAATAGTTGTTTGCAGAAACCTATTGAGTCATATAATTCATGCATACATATTCTGAGTGTACTTTAGTTTTTATATATTTTTGTACATTTGTATAAGTGCATTTTCTGTGTTGGATATATTATTTTATGAACAGAAGTTTGCATTCAGCTTTCTTAGGTTGGGTTCATATGGGGTTTCTTTTAGACTTTATGTAATGGTCCTGGGTCTGACAATTTTAAACATGTTGACAAAGTCTTTTCTTTAAAAACAGTTTTGGGATTTGTAATGTTTTATTTTTAAAAGTTCACTGTTGTACAGATATGAGGAAATTAATAAAAATATATTAAATATTATCATTGCAACTATACCTTAATCACTTAACATGCTCCAATGATCTTACATATTCACATAGTTTTTAAAAGACACAACCAAAGTAATTATTAAACTAGAAGCAAAAGTACAAGAGTGGACCCTTCAGAGCATGAATTGCACAGGCCTTACCCAGTCAGGAGTTATGTAGGGAAGTCATTAACCTGCTCTCCTTTCTTTCCCCCCTCCTCTTTGGTTTTGTTTTTTTGTTTTGTGGTAGTCTGACCCTTGGTTATCATTACAGAACTATGGAGGTGCAATGAGACCCCCACTGAACGCTTTAGGTGGTCCTGGAATGCCTGGAATGAACATGTAAGCAAAATGCTATATTATCCTGTTTAGTAACGTGTTCTATTTTTGGTCTTCAGAAGTCACACTAAGTTGTCAAATAGTTTGAGCTCCTCGATGTCTATGTAGCATAAAAATGTACGAAACAGGAACTGTAGTGTTTGCTTCGTTTTTCAGAAGATATTCTCTATGTTTTTCTTCCTTAAATTGCAACCTTTAATTATTTTTTTCCATTTTCAGGTGCCATAAATGCCAACTTTTAGCCTGATTCTTTGGGATTTTCATATTTTATTTCATTATAATTAAAATGTCTTTTATAAATAAGCACATAGTCTCCATATAGTCTATACAAAAGTATGAAGAGATGCCGACAGCAGCACCATGACTTAACTCTACAGAAGTGAACAATTGAATATTGATAACATCATTTTAACAGATACATAGTGATTCTTAAGAGCGGCATTTTTTAACCCTTACACATATACTAATATGTGTCTTTACTTTTGCTTTGTTGGGGCCACTCTCAACACAGGAAGAATTCTCTCTGGAAGTATCTTCCATGTTAAAGAACTTTCTATGGTATAGGGTGAATTTCCTTTTAAAAATTCAAGACATACTTAGATGAGGAGTAAACTAACAGATTTGTGTTGTTTTTCTGAAAAGCCTTTCAAGCCCAAAGTGAATAGGTTGTTTCTATCAGCCAATATAATGCAGTTGATTAAAGGAATTTTTATTTTTTTATTATTTAATTTGCCCTCAAAGTTCCATATACACCAGGCGCTTGTAGTGACTGATTAATTCACTAGAGGATCAGTTCCATGATGTGGCTTAAAGAAAGCTTACCAGAAATGATAAAAATGCTTAATACAGGATTGTGGGTAGTCTCCTTTAATATATTTCCCATCAGTCCACGTTTTGGTCACTTACATGTCAAATTAAACAACTCTGCTATCATTTTAATGGCATTGAAGATATACTGTGAGTATGTATGCCCTTTGGATGTACACAGGGATTTTTTTTTTAAGTTTCTGAAACCATTTTCATGGAAAGCAATTTTGCCTAAAATAGAAAATAGGTTAATAGGTGGGTATCAGCCAGACTTAAAACTAACAGAACATGGGGAGAAAGTAGGTCAAATTTTCCTATCTCGTCTTTTCACTTTTAAAGTAAAAATGGATAGACATGGAGCCTGACATCTTAAATTCCTCAAAGGCTCAGCCTTTATTAATGGTTGCTACAAAAAGCGGCGAGTGATATTTTGTGCTTATATCAAAAGCTGAAACTCTTACCAATAGGATTTAGATATATATAAAATTTACCTACCTGAGATATTGACTTTAAAATGCCGTAGCTTTTAAGGAATATGATTTTGAATACTATATATAAATGTAAGGAGTATACATTTTGAATACTATGATCAGTCCATAATTATCATTAAATATTAAGAATGTAATATCACTTTGTATATTACTCTTCATTATAATTAGAGTATATATAAAATCATGAGACTCAAGTGGCAGCTTTAATGGGTCTACTTCCTTTCTTACATGTACTTAAATAGATACATATGGGTACGTTTAATTCCCTAGACTATGGAGACTAAAAATATGGCTGAAATTTTAATATCATTATATTTATTTGAATTTGGATTTCTCATTTAAATATACCCAGATATTTTCAAATGTATTTATTTTGTAATATTTCACTACTTATATAGTTTATAGTTTTTAAAGAAACTTTAAGCCTTAGACTCAGATTTCCATTATTTTTTTTTTTTAATTGGGGAATCGGGGGGAGGGGAACAGCATTGGAGAATCAGGGAAGGAGAACAGACAGGTAGACAAATTGCTGTTTTGTTCTTTAGTCTAGTTGTTGAGGACATTGCTTCACTGGCCCATGTTGGTATTATCATTGTGCTCTTCCCGGGTGAGGCAATCAGTTGCCAGTCATTGGCCAGCCGCTCACAATGGCTCCCGGTAGCTCACACCAGCTACCAGCCACTCACGCTGGCTGCCAGCCACTCATGTAGCTCACGGCAGCCCACTGCAGCCCTGCTGCAGCCCACGCCGTCGCTGGCGACTCACAGCAGCCCAGCTCCAGGTCGAGCTGTTGTTCACCATCTGAGCTGTAGAGGGCGAGCGTCACTGGCCCTCAATGTTGAATCCAAACCCAGCCCTGCTGCTCAGAGCTGGTGTTCCCAAGCGAGCTCTTAACCAGCTGAGCCACTCAGCCGCCCCAGATTTCCATTATTGTTTACTATTGACTTTTATTTAGGGTCTTATATCATTTTCACTTTTATATAAATTAGGATTCCTTCAAGGACAATGAAAATAAATATTTACATATGTACATTTGTATATTCTTCCCCCTAACAGGGTAAGTTCTGATGTATGGAAGATCAACCAGAGAGAATAAATCTTGTATTGATATTGGCCACAACAAAGCAAAAGTGAATTTAAGGAGACATAAAAAAATATATATTATCTCCATTGTACTCAACAGAGGAGACTTGATTGAAATTCACTTCATAATTTATTATCTTTAAAACAAAGTAAATCTTACTGTGTTATGGCAAACAAGTATTTCTAACTGGCATTTGTGGTTTTCTTCATGTCACTTTTTACATGTTGGGTAACTTCAAAATGGAAGGTAAAGGCATTATAAAAGTGAAGCTTCGTTTTTAACAGTCTAAGATATTTGGGTGTTGGATCAGGAGGCGCCTACCAGAGAATCATTATCTGGATGAGTTTTCTTTAGCTTATCACTTTTTCTTGTTTGCCATGAAAGCACAATGACAATGAAAAATACCCTGGTCACTAAAGTAATTAAATACGGTGTTCTAACTAGCAACTTTATCTCTTTATTGAAGAACAAGCCATTTAGAACAAAATTTTAATAATTTTTTGTTAAAAAAATCTTGGTCACCTCCAAAAAAAATGGTTATTCTGATATAATTTTTACATTTTCATGCTCTAAGCAAAATAAATTATACTTAATTTCATCCAAAATTAAATGATAGCATACTTTTATTCTTCCTATAATTAGTATTATATCTTTAGGACTAAAAGCTTAATATCAATTTCAGTAATTTAAAGGAAAATGTACACACCACAGCCACAATGTAAATGATTTCAAATGCATTAGAGATTATTTCTAAAAGGAAACTCTTTTTAAATTAACTACATTTTTACAAATTTCCAAAGAATTTAGGGTTTCGCGTTCAAGCCCTTCTAATGCAATTGTTATAGAAACTTAAGCGGACAAAGGATTTCAAAGGATCTAGACCTTGTTCTCGATCATATCCTATAGAATTACACAGCTTGTGTAGTTGTTATCTTGAAATAAAATAACTGTGAATTACAGAAGAAAAGAGCATTTTTCTCTGTGGTAATCATGGTTGTTTTGATTTCATCATATCCACATACCCTTACCAAACAATACAGACTTCTTTTAAATTCCATTTTTCTCTTTATTTTTAAACAAAGCTAACCTTATTCTACTTCAGACTACACCTGTATAGAAATTTTCATTTGAAATAATGCCTATGTTATAGTTTGTAGACTACTTTCTTAATAATACTGATGGCCCTCAAAAGTAGTGGGAATTACTGTGCTTAAGTAGTTGTTCTATTAGAACCACTCACTACTCTAACCACCATTTCACTTAGCGCTTTTTGTGAAACCTAAAATGTTTTCCCTGGGTGGTGAACACACAATGTAATATATAGACGATGTATTACAAAATTGTACACCTGAAACCTGTGTAACTTTACTAACAATTGTCACTGCAATAAACTTCAATAAAAATAAAAACTAATAACAAAAATATTTTCAAACACAATGGTAACATTGGAGGAAATTCAGTTTATCCATATGAATGCTTAAGCTATTATATTAAAATGCAATTTAATGTGAAACACAGTGTGCTGAGATTCGATTAGTATTTGTCAAATAATTGAAATGCATAAAAGATATTTTATATGTTACTTATAATAGATTTAACATTTAATTTAATGTTATTTTATTAGTAGTTATTTAAGTAAAATGTTTAACATTTAATTTAGCATGTTAATTTAACATTAAACAGATTTTTAAATGACAACTAAAATATTGTATTATTTTTAATATATCTTCATACAGTACTTATATAAACATAATATTTCAAAATTGTGAGATCATTATATACAAATATTTGCCATGATTTGGATATAGTATTTTTTATGTTGTTTTAAGATGAATATTTCTCAGTTTCTTAACTGTGTTTTACTTAACATCAAACAAATCATGTAGATTAACATCAAAGAAATCAAATGTGTTACCAGATCAACATATATCCAATGTTTAACCTCAATTCTGTCCATTAGAACATTGAATCCTACATGTAAAATCATCTTTCTAGTGTTCCAATAATTAATTGCAAAATCATCATCATCACCATCATCACCATCACCATCACCATCATAGACAAGCAACAGTTTCCAGAGACAATCCAAGTGCCCCTCACCTTCTCCCTGTGCACAATACTTCAACCAAGTCCCCTCTGGTATCTTATTTTCTCCTTCTTCCCCTTAAACAGAATTAGGAAAAATTGTACTTGGGCATCCTGACAGAGCCCAAGGACAGACCTTTCATCCTTTCATGCACTCCCCTGCTGTTTACATCCCTGGGGAATCCCAAAATAAATTGAAAACAGTTCTAAATATTCCAAGCAATCATGGGTAATACAGCTAACTTGGACAGCCTCTATCTGACCTTTAGAACTTTAGGTTTAAGGTCCCTAGAATAAGAATCAGGGGACATGTCTTTGTCAATTAACACTTTTCACTGTCTTTTCACTGCGAGTGGCGAGGAAAGGGGATTTTGAGTGACTCTAATTACAGATGACCAGCTGACATAGTCTACTTTTTATTAGGCAGCATTTATTCAGTTATACTTAATACTAAAGCATGAGAACAAGAGACCTTTTTGACTTAATTAATTAGGCATTCATTTTGTTCTAAAAGATTTATGTCTTTTAAACTATGGAATACAAGTCATTCTCCTTCACCCTAAAATGAAGAATATATTGCCATACAGTGGCATAGGTTACCTCCTATTTTTCCCAAGATTTACTCTGGCCACTGTATTGAACTACAATTATTAAAATAAAGTTGATTCCCTTGTTTAATAGTAACCTAATTGGCAAGAGCACTGAAAGACAGATTGATATATAAATGTATAATGTAATATGTGATAGTCTGCAAGTTTTTGAAAGGGAGGCAAATTTAGACACTTTTCATGTACATTTATTTATTTGTATCTTAAAAAGTGCACTCATTTTTTTATATATTGATATAAGTAATTTCGTTTTCATTTTGAATGAGATAGAGGTAGCACTTATATTGATGCCACAAGATTATGGTTTATAGTATTTGCTTTATAAGTACTTATACTCCAAAAGTGTGTTTTCATAATGATTTCCGTATATGTATATATTTGCTGCTATAGGTGATTACTACTTTTAGTGGTTATTACAATAACTGAACTTACTATTAAAATAAATCCTGGCTTACTAAAAGTAGTTTGCTTGGGAAAGAAAATTGCTATGTGAAATTACAAAATTTTTTTGATTCAAGAAATAAAAAATCTAAAAAATAAGTATAAACAGAGTAATTTCATTGTTAAACTAAAACTGCATGGTAACTGAACTACATTAATATTATATGATTTGTTATTGCTTATTGTGAAGTAGCAAAATTAAAGCATATGTTAAAATGGCACTTATTATATTGTCTTATAGGGGTCCAGGTGGTGGTAGACCTTGGCCAAATGCAACAAATGCCAATTCAGTGAGTATAAGTGGTTTGTTTGTTTTTTTTGTACTTTTTAGCATTTAACAGCAACAAAAATCTGTTGCTTTTGAAAGCTTTTACGTTGGTTATAGTAACCTTTTTTAAAAAGTAATCATTCAAAAATATATATTTTTAAATATGCATCATTTTTGAAATTGTGTATTTTTCACTTCAATGTCTAATGTACACATGCGTTCTGTGTAGATTACAGACTTTCAAAAATAAAGACAAGTATGATTTAAATATACTACAGTAACCTATATTTATCATAAAATGTATTTATTATAAAATGATTTCATCTTCCATGATAGCTACACTCATTGCTAAGTTGCCAGATAACATCAGCCTCAATCGTGGTTATTATGACTATATTTTCTGTACTAGTGACACCTAGCTTTTCTCCCTCGCTGCCCCACGAAGCAAGTGTATATGTGCCTTGTGCCTGTGGGCTAAATCACCACCCTTACACATTTATCTATGTTTGTGACATCTTGGGAACTTTCCTTACATGTTTTGTGGCAGTGGTTTGACTACACAAATATTTGTCTTCTTTAATAATGTCACATAAATATATGCACAGGTTAAAAATTGAGCTTACAATGTTAAAATTACTGATTTTCATTTAATGATCCTGGAGATGATTTTCCTTCTTGACTTTGAAATCTTGAGTTCTTCAGTATGTGAGCAAGGTCTGCTGTGTACATATGTGTAGTGTGTGCACTGCACAAAGGTGCCTGAGTTAAAGGAGGCAGTAGGGCGCTAAAATACAGCTTGTGTTCCACTTGTGAAGTCTATGAACATCTTCCCAGAAGGGATGCCCTTTGCTAATATACACAAAGGTACCTCCATTGGCTAGCAGTGGCCTTAATGCTAAATAAACATGAAACTGATCCAATGTTTAAGGTCAATTTAAACTTCAAAAAAATTTAAAGTGAAGTGTGTGTGGTATAGGAAAACCATCCTAAATCCATTGCTATTCTAAAGCAAAAATCGCTTTCTTCTCAATTAAGTAACTGTCATATTTTTAAGGGAAAAAAATCATTGATATTAGTTTCAATAGCTATGACATTTGCTAATTTAATAAAGTTACTTGAGGTGGAGAGAAGATGATGTTGCTTCTATTTGGGTCTTCAGTGTACTATGTAATTTCCACAGATATTCCTAAAATACTGTTTTTTCAGATTATGTTATAATGTGAATATTTTTATTCCTCCAAAATTCTTTTAGTTTGCTTATATGCTTTTGAAGAGTTCACTTTCCCTTTGTTTCTTGCTATATGCCTTGCCAATTCATTCAAGATTTCACTTTAAAATGGCATCTGGCTAACAGCTCAAAATACATTTCTTTCAACTCCCTATTAAAGTATCCATAAAGATACAGAAAAAAAATTCTTTATAACACTAAAAACTCTGACAATCTATTGCCAGAATCTGGAAGGAATTTCTATTATCTACATGACTGATAAAGCAGAATTAAAAAGCACAGTCGATGGCCCACCATAGCTATGTCAGCCTTCCCTGTAGAAGCAAGAGTTCTTCTCTCCTTCCTCACTGTCACCTCAGCCAGTGTCCCCACTACTGCGTTGCACACCCACCACTGCCCACCCCCAGCAGCACCTCCTCTTATACACTCACCCGGAGACTCTCTCTCCCCGAAAACCCACTTAAGAAGGTGGGCGGGACTTGATATGGAAGATGGTACATTGTATTTAGTGGGCATACTATCCAAATAGGAGTATTAGATAGAGGCAGAGATGAGGAGAGTTTTACATTCTGATGATTTTTAGTTTGGGGTACTCCATGTCTTCAGAATTTTTCATAGAGCCGAACACTGTGGATAGGAGAATGCACTGTCTCAGGTCAGCAGCTCTGTATTATTTTACACCTTGAAAAACACTAGGAATTACAGTAGGAGCTACTGCTGTCCAACTGCTGCCTACTGGTCCATGTGAAATGGGCATTTGACCAGCACACACGTGGGCAAGTAATGGAGTTGAAAACAATCCCTTCTGTGACTATATAACATATATGGGGACATCTTCCCTCACTCAAAGAATGTAAATAGGGAAAGAAGTGAGGGGAGGGGTACAGTTTTCTCTTCAGAAAGAGAAAGGTGTCATCACCCTGAGCACAGGAAGGAAAAAAGCATGCCTCTGAAAAAGATTTATTGTGAGAACAAGAAAAATAAAAATCATAGAAAACTTATGACTTTCTAGCAAAAACATCGGGTTTACATGCAAAAAGCATGAAAGAGGATTTTCCCCCCCTAAATTCCATTGATTACATTGCATGACAACTAATCTACATTATTTTGAATTCCAAGTTCCTTAGACTACTTGTCCATATTTAAAATTAGAAGCATGTTTCATTTTGTATCAATACTGTAAGTCTCTGGGTCCTCAGGGCAGCATATTAAAGTGGTTGTTTGTTTTATTTTTGCTGTTTTCAAATATGTTTTACATGATTTTTTTTCTTTTAAATGTTTATATTGAAGTAACTTCAGATTTATGGAAAAGCTGCAAGAATATGACAAAGAATTCCCATATACCCTTCACCCAGATTTTTAAGTGTTCAAGTTTTACCACATTTGCTTTAGAATTTCCTCTCTGCATATACGATTTTTTCTTGGACTGTTTGAGTTCTGTTTAAGTTGTAGACATGATGACCCATTATCCCCAAACTCTTCAGTGTGTGTTTCCTGAAAATAAACACACTAGCTTTTATAACCACAGTATAAGAATCAAAATGAGACAATTAACACAAATATACTATTTTCTAATCTGCAGTCCTTATTCAGATCTCACCAATAGTCCCAAAAATGTCCTTTGTAACAAAAGAAAATCCCAGGTCACTTGTCACATTCATCTGTCTTGTCTCCTTTAATGTGGAACTGTTCCTCAACGTTCCTTTGTCTTTATTAACCTTGCAGTTTTGTTGACAGCAAGCCTGTTATTTTGTAGCATACCCCATGATTTGGCTTTCTCTGATGTTTCCTCATGATTAGATTCAGGTTATGCATATTTGGCAGGAAGACCACAGAAATAATTTTGGATTTTTCTCAGTGTGTCATTTCAGGAGGCGTATAATGGTGATTTGTCCCATTACTTGTAATGTTAACTTTGATTACTTAGCTCAGGTGGTGCTTGTCAGGTTTCTCCACTGTAAAATTACTTTTTTCTCTTTGAATTATTAACTTGTGGGCACATGATTTCAAACTACAATAAGTATCCTCTCTATACTTTCATCTGGTACTTTTGGCATCCATTGATAATTATTAACTGAGTCATTTTAATACATTGGTTGCCAAATGGCTATTCTTCTAATTCTGAATTTCCTTCACTATTTATTAGTTCACTTTCTACTTAACAAAGAGTTTTTCTTTCTTCTTCGTTTTTTCTTTCATTCATTCACTCATTCATTCATGTGTATCATACGTACTTGTGGATTCTTATTTTATTCAGTGGGCTTTTTGATACTAAAATCATGCCAAATTTGGCCAGTAGGAACCTCTTCAAACTTCATCACTTGACCTTTTGACATGTCCCTGTTATCCTTTACGCACTTTGAATTATCTTACATTTTCCCATCCATAGCCCTGGAAACGGCCATTTCATTGAGGAGCTCTGGTTCCTTTTAGTGGAGAGTGGTGTTTAGAACCCATCAGAGTAACATAGCTCCTAGGCCTTCTGAACTGACAGGATTGGGATATAGATGTATGTACACCCACACACATCTATATCTTTCTGTATCTCTATATATTCAAATCATGACTGCACACTGATGCTTCAGTTTCAGTCCAACACAACAGAGATTCTAGACTTTCTGCTTTCTGTGTTTCTAACTCACTTCTGTGTAACTCACAGCATATTTATTTCCTTAATCTTTATCCATCCAGAGATTTGTCATATAAAAGTGTTTTGATTAAAAGTGTCGTTAGCACCCTTTTACATGGCAGTAGGAAAAACATTTTAAGGACAAATTCATGTATTTAATTCAAAAGAAAAATGTGACTTTTACTTTTTAACTTCCTTCAATCTGAGCATTATAGTATTGACCTCATTCTTATTTGGAAGTTTATTTACAAATCCACCAACTGTTTTTCCTTTGTTACATTTTTCACAAGGAACTGTGCACTTGGGTATAGTATATGGCAAGTTCTAATCACTGAGTAGCAAGCACTTTTTATCAAAATATCCTAATTATCTTTGTCTGGGGCATTCTTAATTAGAAGGTACAGAAAACCAACCAAACTAGGCTCATATTGAAGGAGAATATTACTGGATCATGTATCTGAAAAGTCCATATATAAATTTGCTTTCCGGCACATTTGGTTCCAAGGGTTCAAATACATCATCAGGCCTCTATTCATTACTTCCCTCTGTTCCCCTTGTCAAGGCAAGAAGGCTGCCTGAGGCTTCAGATTTATCTCCTCATAGCTCCCAGTTGAGCACAAAAGAGCAGAACTCTTTATCAGTTAAGGACAGGTAGTGGGAATAACTATCTGAACTGGATTTGTTTAGCATTCATAAACCAGTTATGACCAGATAATACAATGCTCTTTTGGCCAGACCAAGGTCGCATGCCCACTCTCTAAGCTCCACCCAAGCCACATGGAAAAGTAAGAGAGGTATGGTTCACACACACACACACACACACACACACACACACACACACACACAAATGAAAGAAAGGAAAAGACAAAAAAAAAAAGAAATTCAAAGAACTGTTAGCAGGGTCGGCCATGTGGCGCGTTGGTTAAGAGTTGGCTTGGGACACCAGCTCTGAGCAGCAGGGCTCCGGTTCGGATCCCACATGAGGGCCAGTGACACTGCGCCCTTTACAGCTAAGATGGTGAACAATAGCTCCACCTGGAGCTGGGCTGCCGTGAGTCACCAGCGACGGCGTTGGCTGCAGCAGGGCTGCAGTGGGCTGCCATGAGCTACCATGAGTGGCCGGCAGCCAGCATGAGTGGCCGGCAGCTGGCATGAGCTGCTGTGA